TGGCAAGTGCAAATGAGTTTTAGCTGTAGTGAAAATTCTCTACAGAATTGAGATGGAGATCATAGGGCAAGTGATGGGCATATTCTCCACCAGTGCAATCATCTAGACCTCAAAAGCAGACCTCAACAACCCTATTTTGATTCCTGTGTTAAGTGGGGAGGGGTAAGTCTGGCCTCCTCTTGCTGACAGTCACAGTGGCTCCTGTTACTCCTTCTTACTGTTTTATTTAGCTGTTTACCCTTGCATCAGCATGTGACTCAGAAGGTGTCTTTAAGGGAGGGATTCCCTCTTTGTTGCAAGGTAAGGCCTGGTTAGTCCTGTGCGTATTTCACTGAGCCATTACTACCTTCCTGGCATTGTGCTGGGACTGAAGAAATGTCTGCCAGGTCCCTGCCCTTAAGGACAATACAATCTGAAACAATTAGAGAGGTAATCCTTTGGCAGTTGTTGGGAAAGAAGACTCCAAAGCCCAGACAGTAGAACAGGGTTGTAAAGACTTGAGGGCGCAGTTGCCCCACTGGAAGATACTCAGGTTCCTCCCAACCTCCAGTTACATTTATACATCTACAGATAGATCTGTCACCCCATTATAGTACTTCAGACTTCCTGTCTAAAGCTCTGATAAGAGCATTAATCAATCAGTAAGCATTTATTAAGCATTTCTTTATGTGCCAATCCCTGTGCTGAGCCCTAGGTTACAAATGAAAAAGTGAGACACTCCCATGCTTATAGGAGCTAACAAGCTAGCTAGGGGAGACAAAAGACAAGTATCTACAAGATATATATAATGGTGGTTTTTTTGTTATTGTTTTCCAATGACAAAACTGAGGTGATATTGGGAGACTTCATGTAGAAGATGGCATTTAAGATGAAGCCTCCACAGATGAAAGGATTGTAGATTTAAAGGTGGAAGATGACCTTTGAGGTCATCCAGTCCAACCCTCCCCCTAAAATGATCAAGTGATTTGCCCAAAGTCACATAGCTGATAAGTAGCTGACTCAAAATGCAGTGATTTTTCCAGAAATGGAGGTGAAAAGGGAGTGTATTCCAGGCATGGGGGACTGCTTAATACAAAGGTATAGATACTGGAAATAAGGTTCCACGCATGAGGAGTAGTAAGCTGGATCATGGTATTCATGAAGAAGACCTCTTGTTTGTCCTTTGTTTTCAAAGAGGACCATGACATCAGGAAGGTGATGCTATGACTTATAAGGGAATTGGATTTAAGTGGGGGGGGGGGGGGCCGTGCAAAATCACAAGCCTCATTTTCTCATCCAGAGCCATCTGGGCCCAGTGGCAAGATACAGATCAGGACCAGTGGAGATGGTCCTGGATGCAGTGGGAGCCCTTGGCCTTTTTAAGCTAAGGTCTTTCCCAGGTCTCACTTTGACTGAGGCAACGCCTAGTTTCTGGCCAAAACAGAAATGGAAACACCTATTTACATTCACTCAGAGCCATCAGGGCCCAAACAGTGACCAGGTAGAGCCAGAGTGATTTGGGCTTAAGGCATGGTCCTTAAGAAAGAAACCTAATCCATGAAGTGAAAGATATCTTATGGGTTTCAGTGATCAAAATTTACATTCCTTTGGGCAGAGCACCAGCAGGTAAGGTTATTATACCCTATGGGGACAGAACTAGGGAAGGGAAGGGAAGGAAAGGGAAGGGGAGGGGAGGGGGGGGAGAGGGGGAGGGAAGAAAGAAGGAACTGTGTTACCCAACTGGAACTGGCCAGTTGAGTCCTCACTGGGGCAGCTCATACTACTCACAGGTTGTTGTTTGTCTTTCATTCTTGAAGAAGACTTTGACATCCGGAAGGTGATGCCATGACTTGAAAGTGAATTGGATTTAAGTGAGGGAGAACTGTACAAAGAAGACTAATGTGTTATAAGGTCAGAAAAATTGATTGCACTCAGGTTGTGATGCACTTTAAAAACCAAACAAAGGAATTTGTATTTGTTCCTAGAGGTAACAGGGAGTCTCTGAAGTTTTTTGAGTAGGGGAATGACATGGTCAGATTTGTATTTTAGAAAAAATAACTTTGTAAAAAACAGTTTAAATTGTTTTTCCATATAATTGGGAAAAAATAAAATACTTTTTTTTTTTTTAAAAAAGGAAAATCACTTTGGAAGCTATGGGGAGGATGGTTTGGAGTTAGAAGAGAATTGAAAGGAGATCAATTAGCAGACTAATGCAGCAGCCCAGGTGAGAGATGATGATGACCTGAACCAGGATGGTGGCTGTGTGAGTGGAGAAAGGGAGACAGGTATGACAGATGTTATAGAGGCAGAAATGACAAGATTTGGCAACTAATTAGATAGGTGGGATGAGAAAGAATGAGGAGTCAAGGGTGACAATGAGATTGCAAATCTAGGTAATTGGTACTAGGAAGAAATATAGAAGTTTGAAGAAGGAATGAGTTTGGGGGGAAAGATAATGAATTCTATTTTGGACATGGTGATTTTGAAAGATCTCTGGGACATCCAGTTTGAAATGTCCAGCTCACTTTGCTGCTTCTCACACAGCGTAGTATTTCTCCTGGACAGGTAGAGCTTGCTCCCTGATGGGCAGTAGTAGTCTTCACATCTCCTCCTTCAGGTTTAGCTATTATCTTAAAGTGTATCATAAATGTGCTCTTTCAGAAAAGAGACAGAAAAATCCCTTAGCCTGGAACTGGTAGAGAAGCCTTTCCAATTCTGTTCCCTCTGGGTCTCTGCTCTGAGCCTTGTCATCTCTTTAGCAAGAAGTGGGAGAAAAGAGATGTATCACTTCCTTTCAGCAGTCTCAAGGCTTGTACTCTTGATAGAAGACCTCATTCTAAGTTAGGGTAACTATCTAATACATTTGTCAAACATTCACTTTTATAGGCAAGGCCACAAACAGGAAATGGGTATTCACCTAGATTTTTAAAGCTCTAAGGCAGGGGTCTGGTAAACTATGACCTCTAGGTCAAATCCTCCTGCTGGTTTTTCTTTCTTTCTTTCTTTCTTTCTTTTTTTTTTGGTGGCAAAAGCTAAGAACTGGTTTTACATTTTAAAATAGAGTTTTATTACATTAAGAAAATGCAAAAATCAATCTTAACTTTGGTCTATAGCCCTTGGCAATAATTTGTTAATTCCTGTTTTAAGGTGTTCCTATTGATCTATGCAAATGAGTAGTTGGGGAAAAGATACAAAAGTAATCTATGGCTGGCCTTTTCACATACACATGAGCCCACTCAAAGTTTTACACCTTTTACAAAGTATAGAATGATCCACGCACATATGAAAGGAATGCAGTCTAAGAGGATATTTATTCCATCTCAAGGCCACTGTAATTTTTCCCTTTTGAGCTGCAAATTTACTGAAATCTGAAAAAGTAGCATACACTTACACTTCTACAGAAAGTAGCATAGATTTAGAGCTATAAAGGACCTTAAAGGCAATCTTGTTCAGCCCCTTTATCTTACAAATGAGGAAACTTAAAGCCAGAGAAGTACGTCAATTTGCCAGAGGTCATACAGATAATTATTACTAGAGCCAAGATTTGAACATTGGTTATCTGTCTATCAGCTTAGCACTCTTTCCAATTTACCAAGCTGTTCTAATTTTGCTGACTTTTTGGTCTGATCCACTGACTGATGTCAAATGTGGTTTGGTTATTGTGTATTTATAGCAATCTCTCTGGGCTACCCCCAAATTGGCACTCGAAGTTTGCAGGGCATAGACCAACTCATACAATATACCAAAATGGGGTCAAAATGGATAAATGATTTAGACATAAAGGGTGGTGTCATAAGTAAATTAGGGGAGCATGGAGAAATGAACTTGTCAGATATATTGATAAGGGAAGAAGAGGTTATGGCCCAGCAAGAGATAGAGAGGTCACAGGAATTTAAGGGGATAATTTTGATTACATGAAATTAAGGTTTTGCACAAACAAAACCAATGCAGCCAAAAGGGAAGGAAAATGGGAAGCTATGGGGAAAAATTACAGTAAGTTTTTCTGGTAAAGGTGAAAGGTCTCATTTCTCAAATATATAGTGAACTGAGCTAAATTTATAAAAATCAAAGCCATTCCCCAATTGATAAATGGTCAATGGATATGAATAGGCAGTTTTCAGAAGATATCAAAGCTATCAATAAGCACATGCAAAAAATGCTCTAAATCACTAGTGATTAGAGAAATGCAAATTAAAACAACTCTGAGATATCACCTCACACCAAACCCTTTGACCCAGTAATACCACTACTAGGTCTGTATTCCAAAAAAATCAAAGAAAAGGGGAAAGGACCTATTTATTTGTACAAAAATATTCACAGCAGTTCTTTTTATGGTGGCAAAGAATTGGAAATTGAGGAGATGCCCATCAATTGGAGAATGGCTCAACAAGGGGGTGTATGATTGTGATGGAATACTATTGTGCTATAAAAAATGGTGAGTGGTGGTTTCAAAAAAAAATGAGGGGTGGTTTCAAAAAGACTTGGAAAGATTTATATGAACTGATGATGCAAAGGGAAGTGAACAGAACCGGTAGAACATTGTACACAGTAAGAGCAGTATTACAATAATGATCAATTGTAAAAGACTTAGCTGCTCTGATCAAGGCAGTGATCTGAGACAATTCCAAAGGACCTATGATGAAAAATGCTATCCACCTCCAGAAAGAGAACTGATTGAACTCTGAGTGCAGATTGAAGCATACTTTTGTGTTTGTGTGTGTGTGTGTATGTATGTATGTATGTGTGTGTTTTCCTTTGCAACATGGCTAATATGGACATATGTTTTATATGACATCACATGTATAATCAATATCATATTGCTTGCCTTCTCAAGAGGTAGGAAAGGGCCAGGCAGGAAGGAGAGAATTTAGAACTCAAGATTTAAAAAAAAAATGTTAAAAATTTTTTACATGTAATTAGGAAATATTTAACAAAGCAAATAAAAAATATTTTTTTCCCTTTTGGCTAGGAGTTGGGGTTAAGTGACTTGCCTAAAGTCACACAGCTACTGTCAAGTGTCTGAGGCCTAATTTGAACTCAGGTCCTCCTGACTCCAAGGTCGGTACCCTATCCACTACACCACCTAGCTGCCCCTAAAAAATATTTTTTTTAAAAGTATGTAGGTTGGGTCCCTGGGAAGGAGACTAATTCTCAAGGTTTAAGATCATCTATTGGTTTGTAGTCCTACAGCTGCAGTCTCTAAGCCCCTACCAGTGCATTTACCTTTAATAGTTAGCCAGTTGACACAATTACCTCAAAGCAGACATGTTTATCAAGAGATGGTAAAAACAGTAGCTACAAGATATTACCTCCATTAAAATAGGGAAAACTTTGTTATCTCTGTCATCACCCTTTTAGTGATTTTACCAACTGAAATGGAGGAGACACTAACTGATCAAGGGTGTTCTGATGAACCTCTCCCCCCATCCCCCCATTAATGACTACAATGAAGGAAGATATGATGTGAGATATGCCTGTACTTGGGCCTGTGGTCCCCAGCTTGGTCATTTTCATCAAGACATATTTATTGAGAAGATAAGGTTATATGGCACCATAGGTCACATTCCCAAGTATTGCTGCAAAGCCCTGCCTTTCAGGAGTTTGTTAGGTTGAAAAAAATCAAGAGGGAAGATGTATATCTATACTAATATTGTTTTCCAATGGCATTTATTGATCAAATGCTTGATTGCATATGGTGCTGCACATATAAAATGAACTTCATTGCCATAGAAGCTACTTTCTAAGGAACTTAAAATCTAAGACAAAATCCTTTAACATCAAGAGCTTGGCAAAAGTGATAAGGAGGTGAAGTTTGTCTTCAGAGCCACCAGTTGGCCTGTTTCAGGGCCTTTTTCCCATCTTCCATAGTATTAATTGAAGGCTACTGATCAGTGTTATTCTTGGCTCAAAGAGGAAGCTTTGAATTATAATGATGAAATATTAAGGAGTGGTTCATAAGCTTAGTTAATTTTCCCAATATGTTTGCCTTTTAATTTACAGAACAAGGTAGCTCCCCTCCAGATAAAGATACCTGTCGTGGAAGTGGAAGGAAGTAGAAGAAAGCAGAATTGGAACCTTTCTCTCACCATAGGAATGATAAAAGGTACTGTGAAGATAGGTTTTGGTAACCAGAGGGGATCTTTTGTTTCTAAGAAGGAGTGTGTTTGCTCACTAAGACCAATTCTCTCTGAGTAGCCTTGGGGCTTAGTTGTGGTGGAAGAGAGAATCAAAGAGGATAAAGTTGGAACTCTCTAAGACCTTACCAAATCAAAGTGTAAACAACTCAGGAAATACTTTCTTTAACATCCTGTAACATTCCCACAAGATGAGGCCCTCAGGATAGAAGGAAATATGAAAATGGCAGTTGGAGTAGAGTAATAGGTAGGGGATGCTAAGCTGTATGTATGGAAAAGTACAGGGCCTTTATATAGGTATGACTTGTATTCAGTCAACAATCACTCAGTAGGCATTTTTAAATGTTTTTTTTTGTATGTAGAATACTATGTTAAGCATTGGAAGCAATACAAAGTTTAGAAATATATATGTGTGTGTTGCTGTTTGTCCTTTTTTGTTGTTGTTGTTGAAGAGGACCAATGACATCATGGGTGATGTCTTGATTTGCTTGTGAATTGGATATAAGTGAGGCAGAGTTGCACAAAGTTGTCAACCTTACTCTCTCTTCCACAGTCATTGAAGTCCAGTAGCATAACAAAAGTCAAGATAATTGGCAATGGCATGGGATGCAGTGCATGACCTTCAGTGTCTGACCAAGCTTTAAATGCTCCACAGCACCTGCTTCAGCTGCCGTCATTCATGACTGTTGGAACAAATTGTTCTCATCTGCCTCTTCTGCTGGAGGAAGTCTTCACATACTTGGGGTAGACATCTGCCTAACTCACTGCCGGATCTGAGGCCTGTCCATTACCTTCAACCTGGCCTCTTTGCTGAGACAGTTTTACTGGGGTGTGGCTGCTGCCACACATGCTACAGCTTCTTGGAACCACAGGTGAGAGTTGGGTGACCTGTTAGATACCAAATGGATGAGCAATCTCTGTAAAGGGCTCAGTAAGCCCTCAAACCAGAGGTTCTAATCTTCCCTTAATACCCCATACATACATATGAATATATTTCTCTCTCTCTTTCTCTGTATCTCTCTGTCTCCCTCTGTCTGTCTTGCTGTCTCTCTCTCTGTCTGTCTCTCTCTGTCTCTCTCTCTCTCTGTCTCTCTCTCGTCTCCTGTCTTTCATGACACAGCATGTTACTTAATAAGAAAATTAGGGGGTGACAAAGCACATTAAGTGAGATAGTTACCAGCTGTAGGGATCAAGGAAGGCTTTCTGGAGGAAATAATGTTTGAGTTTGGTTTTAAAAATTAGGTGAGACCTGGTTAACAGGTGAAAGTAATGAGAGAGGCCATTCTAAGCATAGCAAAACGTCAGGGAAAAGGCATGGAGATAAGTGTGAGAGTGTAGTGGATGTTGAAGGGAATAATTAGTACAATTTGCTTGAAAGACAGAATGTACAAGGGAAATGGGGTATTAGGAGGAAAAACTGGAAAGGTTGGGAGCTTTGAGTGTCAGTAACCAAAGGAACCTGAACTTTACTCAGGAGGTAATAGGGAAACACTCAATGTTTTCTCTTTTGCTTTTTAAGAAAAGTAGTGACATGACTAGGCTTTTGCTTCTCTTATCCAAGGGATTAAATGTGTTTTCTTTTCTCCCAGAGGGCAGAACTATGAGTGATGGATGGAAGTTGTAAACAGTGGTAGTTCTGACAAAGTGCTAAGAAGCACATTGATAAGCAGGAGGATATCCAGAGGACAGGCATAGTAGAGAAGGGTCCATTTCACATGAGAATTTGTTGAAGGAACTGGGCATATTTAGCTTGGAGAAAAGTCAGGGAGGACATGAAAGGACAGCCTTCAAATATTCAAAAGGTTGTCACATAGAAGAAAGACTAGACTTAGTCCTAGAGGACTAAAACAGTGGCAATGGGTAAATGTTGCAAAAGAAGTAAATTTAAGCTTCCTATCAGGAAAAACTTCCTAACAATTGTTGTTGTTCAGTTGTGTCTGATTCTTCGTGGCCCTAGTGAGGTCTAGAGGTTTGGGAGTACTCGGACCCCAAGATTTCGATGCGGGCCCTGCCTGAATGAATTCAACCCAAATCTTCTTCCAGCCAGAGAAAAAGTTTATTAGAGATAAATCATATAGGCCAGAATCTTAAGGAATCCGAACATTAGTAACGCCCCGTAGGGACAAGCGGGCATGAGAAAGTCTCAGCCTTTTGAGCATGAGAAAATCTCAGCATTTGAATGGGGGCCAGGGTGGATCTTATATACACTGAAGCAACTTTGGGTGGCCAGAGGAGGGGGCTGGGAAGAGGGTCTAGGTAAGAATTCCAATTGGAAGGTCTGAGGGATTGAATAGACAATGGGAATAGATAATGAAGAGAACTGGAAGGAAGAAGCTTGAAAGGCATCTGCATAAGATCAAAAGGTGGGGCTGGGGCTTTCAAAGGGAGATAAGGGGAGTCAATAAGGAACCTAAAAGTTTAAGGTTTTTCTGGGGCCTGTAGACATATGGGAGCCAAATTCCTTTTGGTGAAAAGGGGCAAAAGTCTCGGCTTCTGAAACTGAATGATGGGCCCATACCCCATTAACCCCATTTGGGATTTTCTTTTCAAAGATATTGAGGAGGCTTGTTATTTCTTCAGCTCATTTGACAGATGAGGAAACTGAGGCAAACAAAGCTGTGACTTGCCTAGGTTCATACAGCTAGTAAGTCCAGCTAATAAGTGTCTGAGGCAGGATTTGAACTCAGGTCCTCTTGCCTCTACAGCCAGCACTCTATCCAGTGTGCCCTGAAGCTGCTCCACAATTAGTGCTGTCTAAAAGTGGAATAGGTTGCTTAGAGAAGTGGTGGGCTTCCCCTCTTTGGAAGTCTTTAAGCAGAGGCTGGATGATGGCTTGTCAGGTATGTTATAATGGAGATTCTTTTTGTCTATGGCCTTCTAAGGAAGGCGAGAAGAAGCAAGAAGTGCAGGGAAGGAGGGAGGGAAAGAGGAAAGTAAAGAAAAAAGAAAGAGAAAAGTAAAAAACAAATGAAAGAAAATTTAATTCATAACAAGTCTGTTATGACTTGTTTTTTTTTTTCTTTTTTAAAGTAACCCATGTGCCTCTTAATAATAGATTCTAGAAGTCTTCAGGTAATCAACATCAAAGCAAGTAGCCTGTAGTTTAAAGGATCTCTTCCCCTTTTGAAAACTGGGTTAACAACATTAAACTGTCTGCAATCCCATGCTGCCTTTTCCATTTGTGAATCCTCAAAGGTTGCTGACTGTTTCAGCAACCACATCTGCCATTTCTTTCAGTAATGTGAGAATTAATTCATCAGGTCTAGGTGCCTTGAACTTATCAAGAGTCAGATCTATTACTATTCCTCTTACATAATATTACTTTTAAGTGTAGCATCAATAATGACCATTTTGCCTTCTTGCTTGCTTTGAGGGCCTCATATGAAAAATGATTCAAATTCTCAAATGGGGATGAATTAGGGATATTTTCTGAGCCCATAGGATTGGTTTTTCTTAAAATGGAAAGGAAAATCGATTAAGTTCTCCTGCCCATTTTAATACCTGCATTTTCTGGTGGCAAATGCTTTTGCAAATAAGTGATTTTTGTGGTAAATTAGCATCCACTCGAGGGAAGGGAGAGAGTTCATGAACAAATAGAAAATATATATCTGAATGAGATTTATTGGAGGATATTCGTCACAGCCAGCTGAGGCATCAGGAGGGCTAGAGACTGGAATGCTGCAAATCTTCAAGTCTGTATCAGATCAATTCTTGGTGGGGGTGGTGCTGAGGGGGTGGTTAGGGTTTGGGTTGGTTAGCAGCATCAAATATGGCTGCCTAATCCTTTTTATACAGAAAAAGTCTTATCTCTGGTATCAGGCAGTGTTTCTCACTTCTTACAGTGTCTAAGGAAGTGATTCATGGGGAAGCAAGGGGTTACCTGTTAACTCTACTCAAATGGTATTCCTTTAGAAAGTTCCTTTGGGAACTTTGAGCATTTTAATTTGTTGAGGCAGTTAAGGAAGGGGAAGAGGAAGAGAGGATGGAGATGAAGAAGGGGTAGAAGAGAGTTTGATGCACCCCACAGCTCATTTGGCAAATTTATTGGTCTGTTCTCCTAGAAATAGGGCCTATTTTCATGGCCTTAGCTGGACTCTGTGAAATATTCCCAGAACTCAGGGGCTCATCTGTCAAACAGACATCCATTAAGTTCATAATGGGCTTAATGATAAAGCAAAGAAGCAGAGGGGCCATTAAGTTCTTCATGCTCTGAATTTCTGATTTAACTCTTCACTCCCCCTGAGACAGTCTTCAGACTCTAAAACATGCTAGAGGTGCATGAAAAGGTTAATGCTCATTGAGAACGTTTTGTTCAGCACTTTTTATATTGGCTTATCTTGCATCCATGAGATAGGCTTCTAAGCAATTATTAATATATATGCATGCATACATACATATTCTAGTAAAAAACATCAATTCATTTGCATTTACAGAAGGATGGCTCTTGCATTTATAAAAAATCCTAAATAAATGTTCTTATACATATTATGAGAAAGGTCATAGCTGCCCCAAACCAGATATTGCAGTAGGAATTGTGTAAGTCATTGCTGGCCCTGCCACAATAGCTTCTGTGTGAGTATTCTCTCCTGTGACACAGATTGTAATCCATATATACCTGCTGCCCATCCTGTCCAGCTCTTGGAAAACTAGTGTGCGAATCCCACCTCAGACACTTTCTAGCTGTGTTACTTTAGGCAAGTCACTTAACCTCTCTCAGCCTCAGTTTCCTCATTTATATGATGGGGATAATAATATCACCTATCTCACAGGAGTGTTGTGAGGATCAAGTGAGATAATATACATGCATAACTCTTTGTAAAACTTAATGTCCATAAATTCTTGCTATTATTTCATATCCTCCTCTGAGTTTGCTGCAAGTTTCATTTTAGGTGGTAAGAACCTTTCTCAAGTTCTTTTGACATCCTGAGGGTGCCAGTGGAGCACATAAGCCATCCATCAGTCATCTCTTGCCATGTAACCAAGTCATCTTTTTAAATTGAATTTTTCTTTGGTGGATCCTTTTTCACTGATGCTCCTTTGTAATTCCAATTTTTTTGGGGGGGCTTGTTGTTCCCCCACAGTGGAATGTAAGCTCCCTTAGAGCAGGGACTATTTTGTGGGTTGTTTTTTTTTTTTTTTTGGCTTTGCATCTAGGTGCTTGAAAAGAAGAAGGCAGCATAAAGACAGTGGATAGAGAGAGCTTGCCTTTGAGTCAGAAAGATCTGGGTTCAAGTTCTGTCTCTGCCCCATACTTGCTGTGTGACCCCAGGGAAAGTCTAGCTGCTTAAGAAATTCTTGGAGAATTATTGAGTAGAGTCTCAAAAGATCAAATGAAGGGAGTATGTGAGTGTGTGTGTGTGAGTGTGTGTGTGTGTGTGTGTGTGTATGTGTGTATGTGTGTATGTGTGTGTGTAGAATGCCTGCTTGGTCTTGGCAGAGTCTAATGGGATTTGAGAACTCATCATATATCAATAAGCCTCAGCTCTTTTCTAGCAAAACTTGGTAGAGCATCCAAAAATGTGTCAATCATTTTTTCATCTCTTTACCTTCTAGTGTTTTTGAAATCCTTTATAACATCTAGGGTTGATGTGAGAGTCTTCCTAGGTCACTGCCTTGCATTGGTACCCTTCAACTTCTGGGCCCTGGGATTGACAATGATATCCTAATACTGAAGAAGATAGAGC